GAAGCAAAACCAGCGTCTCCCACCCGTGGCTGTCGGGGCGAACCGGGCAAACACCGCCCGCGGAGCCCCGCGGACGGGAACCCACCGTGCCCGGGGCAGGGGGGCAGCGCGTTTCCAAGCGCCTCCCGCTCTCTTCCTTGAAGGGGCTCCTATCCCTGCGCTCTCTAGCTTGTTTTTCATAATGCCGATTTTTTTTTTTTCCTTCGAGCCATTCGAATTTCGGGCTTTTCCGAGCCCGTTGGTTCGGTTTCTGCTCTGTCCCCAGCTGCAGCAAGCAAAGACCTTTTGCTGCTTCTAGGGGTTCTGTAGAAATTCATCTCGGTAAAGTTTTCAGCCGAGGAGAGGTAAGATTCAATCAAGGTTGTTTCTCGAGCGCGTTCCAGGCTTCTAGGAAGGGACAGCACAGGGACGCCGCAGGGGTAGCTTTGCTCAGACTTCGCATTTAAAATTTCCTGCATTTTAAAAAGTTATATCGTTAAAGGAATCCCATGTGCTTGTGTACGCTGAGACACAGCCTTAGTTTTTTACGAGAAATACGATTTATCTGAAAACCGAACATAGAAGTGTGAAGTCGTTCTCAAATTATTCCAGAAAAGAAAAAAAAAGTTTTCTCTTATGGTCGTACATTTATATGAAAAGTAGCCGCAGAGCTCGCTGAATTCACTATTTGTTTTCATTAAAAAAAAAAAAATAAAAATCCCCCGGACGTTTTCTGGGTGGATGAAATCTCCCAGAACATTTAAAATTATTTCCATCAAAATTAAATAACAATTTTGAAGAGCCCGGCGAAACTTTCCAATCAATTTTTCCATCGCAGATCATTTTTAACCGTACCTCCTTGTAGAGGAGCTGCCTCGTAATTTTAGTATTTTTTCTCCCCCCAGTTCTCGCATAAAATCGTTTCCTTTCTTATTAAGAAAATCGCCGGTAATTAACAGCACCACCGAGTTCCCACGGCCGGAGCCGGCTGCGGTCTCGTCCCCACCGCCCCGGCTGGGAGCGGGAAAGGGACCCTTCGTCCCAGCAGCCAGCAAAAATCCCAGCCTGACTTTGGGGGAGAAAAATATCTTTGTTTAAAGCCTTAGGAAACCACACAAATTGCAAGGAGGGAAAGGCAGAATTACAGTGTAAGAAACCAAAAAATCACCGCTTAGGAATCAGAGCGGGAACAGCCGAACCCAAGGGAGGCAGCGGGAAGGAGCCCAGTCGAAGTGACAGCTAATTAACTTCAACCTTATCTTAGTCTTTTCGGGCTCGAATCGATTTTGCAGCGCTATTTTATATATATATATATATTTAAATTTTTTTTTCGCGAAGCGGGGAAATCGCTGGTTTCCCACCTTCATTCCTTCGCTGGGCAGATCCACGCTTCTCCCGGGTGGAACAGAACATCTCGCAGCCGTTTCCCCCAGTACTTGAGTCTACACTTGGTCACCAAGCGTCCCTAATTGTCCCATCTGATTGCCTCTAATGGACTCATTAGAGAAGGCAGAGGGGCGGATTTCACAGGCACAAGAAAATCCGCCTCAAAGCCCGGAACGAAAAAAAATCCGCTTAAATTCGCTCACTATTTTTTTGTTTTGATTTTTTTTTTTAAATAAAAATAATAAAATACCCCAAACTCCCCTAACGCGACAGAGGGAACCTCTCAGCCCGCGGGCGACCGGGGCCGAACCTGGGCGCGATGCCCTCGCCACCGGGCGAGCACCGCGGCGAGGGACTCGGCGGCCTTTCCCGAGGAACCGCGGGGCCGTTCACTTAAATACACTTTAAAAGTGAGACAAACGACCTGCCCGAGTGCTGGGACACCGTTATACCGGCATCGCGACTCCCGCCGCCCTCGCCATCAACCTGCGTCCGAAAAGTGCTTAAAAACGTGGTGTTTTGCGGGAGCGGGCAGAGCCCGCGGCCGGGGCTCCTTTGAGGGC